TTTTCAAAAATATTTGAAATCCTAAGGGAAACATTGTTTTACAGCCATTGTTTATGTTCAATAAATTCATGTTATCAAAGTGAATGAATAATTTTGCTAAATAATCTAGATCTCAATTTCAATCAAAATAATCGTGATTATCATTTTYGCAATAATCGAGCAGCCCTATGCTAATGTCTGCTGACAGAGGCATGTACTCTGTCGTCCTCTTAGTGGACCTGTCCTCAGCCTTTGACACTGTCGATCACACTTTTCTCCTTCGAAATCTGAAAGACATGGGGATATCCGGGGTGGTGCTAGACTGGTTCAAATCACACCTCTCAGACCACTCTTTCTCAGTCTTATTAGGCCAATCTCTCTCTGACTCAGCCAAACTCTCCTGTGGGGTTCCRCAGGGTTCCATCCTGGGCCCGATTCTATTCCTTCTCTACATCCGCCCCCTGACTGAGGTCATCAAAAAATTTCCCAGACGTCTCCTACCACTTCTATGCAGATGACCTGCAGCTATACTGCTCYTTTAATACCACCCACAAGCTCACCTCTCTTATAAAATGTGTCACTAAAGTCAACCAGTGGCTGTCTGACAACTTGCTATTTTTAAACCTCAGTAAGACAGAGACATTGATTGTGGCCCCAGAAAATAAAATCCCAAAGATAAAAGAACATCTCGGCTCTTTGAGTTCAACTGTCCAGCAGAAYGTGCGCAACCTGGGAGTAAATCTTGACTAAGATCTGTCTCTAGACAAACACATAAAAAAATCTGGTTTCCACATGCTACTTTCAGCTTCGGAACATCTCAAAACTCCSGGCCCTGCTGTCTMCTTCAGACTTGGAAATGGTAATTCATGCTTTCATTTCTAGCCGCTTAGAATATTGTAATAGCTTGTTCACCTGTCTTAACCAGAAACGGTTAAATCGCCTTCAGCTTGTCCAAAACTCGGCAGCAAGACTCCTAACTCGAATTTCCAAATTCACCCACATCTCCCCGATCCTAGCAGAACTTCACTGGCTTCYGGTTCAGTTCAGAATCTGGTTCAAAATACTGGTCCTCACCTTCAGAGCTCTTCATGGCCACGCACCTGAATACAGAAGTTTCATTTCTCCTTACAACCCCAGACGAGACCTCCGCTCACAAGATCAAAATCTCCTTATGGTTCCCTTCACTTGCTTTAAGACTCGTGGTGACCGTGCCTTTTCCTCTGTGGGCCTCAGTCTCTGGAATAAACTTGCTTTTAATCTGTGCTCCCTTGATAACATTGTCTCTTTCAAGACAGTCCTAAAAACACATTTTTTCTCTCAAACGTTTAGCTAACCATTTCACCATTACTGCCAGCCTACCTTCATTGTGAATGCTAGTCAATCTGTGTTTTTCTTTACTATTGAAAATACACCATATTTTTCTCTCCCACATTCATTATGTTTTAGTATTATTGTATATTTTGAACTGCATTGACCTTGTGCTTGATTTACATATTTTAGAAATTAATTTCCTGATTTGATGTTTCAGTTTTTCATTGCTTATGTTTAATTATGTTTTTTCTGTTTCATTTTATTCTTTCCACCATTTTATACTGTTAATGACTGTACAGACTGTACAGCACCTTGTGAATATATTTCTGTGAAAGGCGCTTTATAAATAAAACTTTACTTACTTACTTATATACTTACTTACTTACATTTTGTACAGTTCATTCAAATGATACACTAATAATAACTAATATTTTGGCCGGACGATTGATCAGTGGTCAGCACCGATGCCTCAGCAAGAGGTCCTGTGTTCGATTCCTGGTTCGGACCTGGGGTGTTTCTGTGCRGAGTTTGCATGTTCTCCTCGTGCTTGCGTGGGTTTTCTCCAGGTACTCCGGTTTCCCCCACACCCCAAAAACACGTACAACGGGTTGCCTTCAGGCCCAGGCCTCCCTTGCAAAAGAGACCTGCAATCCCAATGGGATTTTCCTGGTTAAATACTGGTAAATAAATAAGGTTTTTGTTTATAATATTTTTACAAAATGCAATTATTGCAAACATTT